TTGCAGCCTTTTCTGCAAATTGGGAAACCCCATGTGGATTCCTCCACTCCTCCCCCATTAAGTCTCCACAGGGAAACCCATCTCTGTCCCTGGGAATACGCCTATTTCCCATCTGAGGATCTGTTCCTTGCAGATCCAGCAGGCAGAGACATCCTCGTGGTCCCCACCTGCACCTCTGGGGAGCCTACACCCAGATCCCAGGGACCCATCCGGGAGGTGGCAGGGTTAATCGCCTTGCTTGAGGTCACCCAGCTAGAAAAAGGTAGTCGATTTAAGCCTAGGAGCCCCTAGACCTGACCAGTTGCAGCCTCTCTGTCACTGTGGTGGTTCTGGTCCCAGGTGGAGCCCATGGAGCACACCAAGAAACTTCTCTACCAGTATGAGACCTTGATTCAACTGAAGAATGAAGAGAAGCTGTCCCGACATCAGGCCTGGGAGTCAGAGCTGGAGGTAAGGTCCTCCCAGAGGGCGGATGTGGCAGGGAGAGAGGGTCTTCGATGTGCACGTCTGCCATTGTGTGCGATCAAGGTGCTGGAGATCCTGAAGCTCAGGGAAGAGGAGGAGGAGGCACATACGCTGAGCATCTCCATCTATGACACCAAGCGCAACGAGAAGAGCAAAGAGTATCGGGAGGCCATGGTGAGCTTCCCTGCTTTACCCAGGTCTCCTTCCCTGGAGGCAGGGCTCCAGGGTAGGGAGAGCATGGGAGTCCTTTGGAAGGGATGATGTCACTGGTGATGTCAGGTGAGTATTCTTGTTGACTGTCACCTGCCACACTGACTGTGTTGATGGGTCACCCCGAAGGGCACTTAGGGTTCAGGCCAGGTCCTTATCCAGGACTGTGGACAAACTAAAGCCTGAAGCCTACCTTGCATGGGAAAAGAATGAACGTCCACCTCTGCCAGGGCTTCCACCGAGGCTGTGACCCGAGCTGGGAGTCCAGCCCACTGACTCAGGCACAAACTGAGCACCAGGCCTCAGCAACACAGGGCTTGGCCACACCCCATCCTCCAGATGGGAGGACCCATTTGAGTTCCTAGGCTTGCTTCTAAATCCTCTTCACCATGCAGGGCAGACATTTAAAGTAGTTTGCAGTTGACTGGGCAAGGCTGGGCTTTGGATTGTTCTTGGATTCATAGGGAGGGGCAAGAGCCTATGTCTGCAGGTTCTCTGGCTTCTGTGTGCTCCGTGTAGGGCCTCATGGGCAAGAGAAAAATGCTGTGAGTCTAGCATCTTGCTAATCACCACTATTCTCTGTAAGTACCTGCTGTGGACTGTCAGGCCCAGGGTATGTGCTTTCCAGATCTAAGCTGGTCTGATTTCAGAGGAGGAAACTGAGGCTCAGATTGAGATGTGAATTCACGTCAGAAACAGGAATTACACGTCACCCTTAAACATGGGTCAAGGGGTGATCCTTAGGAACTTAGTTCTCCCAGGAAGTCTCTGCTTGGGACCTCACTTTGGGGCCTGACTTTGTGCCGTTGCTGCTCGGGAGGCCTCCAGGATATGGTGCTCTCTCAGCTGGTTCCCTGGTCCACAGGAGCGTGTCTTGCACGAGGAGCACCTGCGGCAAGTGGAGGCCCAGCTGGACTACCTGGCCCCGTTCCTGGCACAGCTCCCTCCAGGCGAGAAGCTCACACGCTGGCAGGCTGTGCGCCTCAAGGACGAGTGTCTCAGCGACTTCAAGCAGCGCCTCATCGACAAGGCTAACCTCATCCAGGCGCGCTTTGAGAAGGTGGGTCCGTGGCCCAAGGCAGGGGAGGTGACCTCCCCGTCCTTAGCCGGAAAATGGGTCCCGAAATCTTTGCTCAGGGCCTTGCTGATGTGTGATCTAGAGGGGTGGACGAGTATGTCTGTAACCGGGGCTTCCAAGTATCTGACTTCTTCTCCCCACTTCGTTACTGGATGGATGAGTGGGTGGATGGCGGGTAGGTGAATATGCACGGATAGGCGGGTAGATGGGGGAATGGATGAAGTGGATGGATGGCTGCAGTTGGCTATGTTGGCAGGCGGGCGTGGGTAAGGCTTAGAGGTGGGATGTGGATGTATGGATGGGTGGTGAGCAGGTGATGGACTGATGAACGATGGGCTGATGGATAGATAGGTAAGATAGGCAGACGAGAGATAAAGAAATGGATGGGCGGGTTTGTGGATAGACTGATGGGTGGTACATTAATTCCTAGTCCTTAGCCCATTTCTGTGAGACGGGTGAGGTGCATACCATGCGGCCTCCACACAGTGTCTTGGCCTTCACAGAATGCACAGAGCAGAGGCAGGTGGGGTTGGACACAATACTTCTTACATTTGGAGATGAGTTACTGGGGGCTCTGAGCATCTCCGCAACTTGCCTAGGTCACGTTGCTGTTTTGTGTATGGGGGTGTTTTGTCTGCACATGTGTATTACACCATGTGCATACCTAGTGACCTCAGAGGCCAGGAGAGGCCATCAAATCCCCTGGGACTGGAGTTTCAGATGATTGTGAGTCTCCATGTGAGTTCTGGGAATCGAACCCCAGTCCTCTGGAGAGCAGCCAACACCCTTGCTTTGTTTTTTGAGACAGTGTCCTATTCTGTAGCCCCAGCTGGCCTGGAACTTGCAATATAGACCAGACAGGCCTTAAACTCACATCTGGCTCTGCCTAGTGAGTACTGGAATTAAAGGTGGCATGACCACACCCTGCCGTTTTGATTTTGTATGAGGTGCTAGGGGTGGAACCCAGGGTCATACACTAAGCCACATCCCTCGCCCTGACTGACTGTTTTGGCTGTTCTGATTTCATGCACATGCTGTCCTTTGAATCATGACTCCAGTAGTTCCAACCCAAGATCTTTTGTGATCCTCTAACTCTGCCTTTCTCCATGGGAGGTGGGACAGGGGCTGCCTGGTAATCTATGAGCCTGGCTGAGGATCAGTTCACACTGTGCCCCTGCTCATCTCCCTACGCCCCCAGGAGACCCAGGAACTGCAGAAGAAGCAGCAATGGTACCAGGAGAACCAGGTAACCCTGACAGCCGAGGACGAGGACCTGTACCTCAGCTATTGCTCTCAGGCCATGTTCCGAATCCGCATCTTGGAACAGCGACTCAATCGGTAAGGGGCAGAGCCAGGAGGACTCCTGGGATCACTGACAGCTTGGCTATCCCTCACCTTCTCCTCCCTCCCTCCCTCTGCTCAGGCACAAAGAGCTGGCTCCGCTGAAGTACTTGGCCCTGGAGGAAAAGCTCTACAAGGATCCACGCTTGGTAGACTTCGTCAAAGTCTTTCTTTGATGCCCCTCATGGGACCATGGCAAAAGCTGCCAGAGAATGGATTCCCGCCCTTCTCCCCGGCCACTGTGATCCCACACCAGCCTCACTGCCACACTGCCTTCCTGTCCCTCATAGTCTCCCTCAAATAAACACACTCCTTATTTGCTATTTATACTTTGGTACTCACAAGCTCCAGTCCCCTCCCCCCATCTCAGCCTTTCTCTGTCATCTTCTTTGTTGGAATATCAAGTATTAATGTATCCAGATGGTTCCACCATCACAACCATCTAGTTAGAGCTCAATGTGGTGATGGTGGGCCGGCTCATAAAGTGGGAATGGCCTGGCCAAGGAGCACACCCCAGGATTGGGTGGCTTGAGGTTAGAGGTCAAGGAACTGAATCCAAGTTCCTCTTCCACTTACCACCTGTGAAAGGGACTGGCATTCTTTCCTGACTAAGTGTTAAAGAGCAGAGGAAACTGGGTAGAGTGGTACGTGTCTGTAACCCCAGCAGAAGGATCTGGGTTCAAGATCTGCCTTGGCTATATAGGGAATATGTAGCCTGAGCTACATGAGAATTATTTTGGGGTGGGGATTTCGAGACAGGGTTTCTCTGTGTAGCTTTAAAGCCTGTCCTGGAACTCCTTCTGTAGATCAGGCTGGCCTTGAACTCAGAGATCTGCCTGCCTCTGCCTCCCAAGTGCTGGGATTAAAGTTGTTTTTAAAAACAAAGTAGAGAAAACCTGGCTTATAGTCTCCAGGGCATGACACAGCCATTACAAATGATCTCACAGCAGCTGTGGTTGCCTGCACATGCCTGGGCCCGTCAATAAGCAATCATGAGTCAGGGCGGGGCTTGTGGGGGACCTGTTCCTCCCTGCTGAACTACTGGTTACTGTAGAATTCTGTTGGAGGGGTAGTCATTGTCTTCACTCAAAGGTGAACCCACCAGGCTTCAATGAATAGTTCCAAACCCACGGTTCAAACCAGGGGCTCAAGCCACAAGTGGTAGCACTTGCCTTTAACCCCAGCTCTTGATCTCTGCCAGTTCAAGGTCAGTCTGGTCTTTATAGTGAGATCCTGATACAGAGGGAGAAAAGGAAGAGGAGATGGTGTGTGTGGGTGGGTGGGTGGGGGGAATAAGGACAGAAATAAGATAAACTTGAAAGAGTCAAATATACCAAATCTTGCCAGGTTCTTAGTTAAGAAACACCCCACCACCACCACCACCACCGTGTGTGTGTGTGTGTGTGTGTGTGTGTGTGTGTGTGTGTGTGATCCCTAAGCAATCCTCTTGTCTCTGCTCCTCACAGTCCTGGGTTACACATTCAGCCATGCCTAGATGTTTACATGTGTGCTGATGATTTGAACTCAGGTCCTCATTTTTGGCACTGTGATCGGTCATAAGATTGAGCCATTTTTCTTGCTTCTAGTAAGTTTTTATTTTCAGTGCTGGGGACTGAACCTAGTTCCTCCTGCACACTAGTCAAAGCTTTCTACCACTGAGCTACATTCTCAGTTTTGTTCTTACTTAGAGAAGTTATTATGTGTATTGGGGATGATTAAGAACATATTAATATAGTCTTCACGTTAGAGGATAAGTTACTTTAGGGGTAGTGAGATTTGTTGTGAGATTTAGGGGTAGTGAGATGCTCAGTGTTGTCATGATTGAAACGTCTAGGGGTTGATAATGCTCAAATACTTGTACTTAAAGCAGACAAGGCAAAACGTGTTAAAATCAAGAATTTGACTTTTTATTTAATAATAAAAAGTTGAGAAGAACAGCAAGCTACAAAGTTTTGATTGAATGTTATTCTCCGAATCCAGGTCTCTTAGTAATCCCCAAAGTCTACTCAGGGCCGACTTCCCAAATCACAGAAGGCTGGTGGATGTCTTTTGTCCCTGCAAAGTTTTTCCATTTCGTAGGGACTTGGCACGTCTTGACTTTAAAGGTTCCAATCCTGAGGCCATCTTCCAGAAGTTTGGTCTTTTCACCTGAGCATCGGTTTCCTCATCTATAAATGGGGAAATCTTACCGCCGTGTGGAGCAGAAGAACGCAAGGCCCCCATGAGAGGCGCAAGTAGAGGACGGACCAGGGTTGGAGGCTCTTTCTGCAATGGGCCGGGGCGAGTTCTTCTTCAGTGAGCCACCCCTCCCCCCCCACTGCCCCGAGACGGCTCATGGAGGGTTATATTTCCCCCACCCGATCTCAACCTGCCTGACCTGTCGCACACATCATCTGCCTTTCTCCGGTTCCCGAGTCGGTGGTTTCCGCCCGCGAGCATCCACAAGCTTACTCAGCCATCTCCCACCGTGACTCTAGGGACGCACTCCTGTCTACACCGACTTTACCAGTAAAGAGGATCTGTTTCTCTCCAGACCTCCACCAGGGAACTCTAGCGTGTGTGCGTGCGTGCGTGCGTGTGTGGTGTGTGGTGTGTGTGTGTGTGTGTGTGTGTGTGTGTGTGTGTGTGTGTGTGTGAACTCTAGTGTGTGTGCGTGCGCGCGCGCGCAACTAAACAGAAGCCAGATCAGACAACGTGGGCAAGGCAACACCCTCAGGCTGAGGGCAGGGTCCGGGCGGCCCTGTTCCAAGATGGAAGAACTGCGACTTCACGCTACTCCAGAAATTCCCTTTCCCATTGGTTGTCTTGGAATTGGTTCTCCAATAATACTGACGGTGATTGGCCAATATCGAGCTGCTGCTGAAGGGATTGGTGCAGCCGCCATCGTGTGCGGCTCGCGGATTTTTCAAACATAACCGGGTTCCAGGAAGTGAAGGAAAAGGGCGGAAAAAGGTAGCCCGAGTGGAGGCGGGACTAAGGACACAGAAGCCCGCATTGGTTCTTTCAAGACCTAAGGGCGGGCCGTAAACGCTTCTTTCTCGTGATTAGTCCGAGTCGGAGGCTGGTGGCTCCGCAAATCGGCAGATGCGCTTGCTTCTATTGGTCGATCTCAGAGGAAGGCGGAGCGTCTGTGGCGACTGATTGGTGTAAGAAGTGAAGTGGGTGGGATTCTAGACCGGAGGTTTTGTTGTGAGGGTCGGTTGTCAAGCAGCGACCAATCAGGGCAGAGGATGGAGGCAAGTGGGGGTCGCGCCTGGAGGGAAGTCTTGGCCTCCAAAGCTACAGCTGCAGGTAGAGTGGCCCCCGGGGTCTTGGAGGCGAGGGGAAGATGGTTCTGGTCTTTGCCGAGCCTGGAGGGGACAATCGCGTCGCCGGCAGAGGGCTCTGGGCCAGGGAAGGCTGGGGCCGGTGCCCCTCAAGACAGAGGGGCGGAGGGTCAGGCGAGGCTGAGAGACCAGTAGCAGATTTTGGATGAGCGAGACGAGTGTGGAGGCCGGGGAGGGAAAGCTAGCGGGCCGGAAGCAGAGCCGAGAGCGTGCGAAGGACCGTATTGAGTTGGGGCTCCAGAAACAGGGGAGCGAATGAATGGGGGACTCAGATAGCAGCAGAGTGAAGGGGCGTGAAGAGGGTCTGGCGAGGCGTGGCCAACTTAGGGAGCTCAAGGTGTGCCGGAATGGGAGCACAGGTGACCGGAGAAGGAGAATGTAGTGAGAGTTGACGAGCCGTGGCTGTGGCAGGCTCCATCTATGCCCTGGTCTTTTAGAAATGAGGAATCATTCCGACTTACGCCTGGACTGGAGACCCAGTTCCCAGCTCCGCCCTTGAGAATAGCAAGAGGTGGGAGTGGTTCCCTTCCTGGGAGCTGGGGAAGGAGGAAGCTAGAGGACTGGACCCTCAAAATCCTCTGGAAAACCACTCCTCCCCGAAGGCCTTCACTATCAGTCTCTTTACACTCACGTTCTCACTCTTTCTGTGTGTGTGTGTGTGTGTGTGTGTGTGTGTGTGTGTGTGTGTGTGTGTGTGGTGCGTCTGCCTTTCCGGTTCCTCTCATGGGCCCCTAAACATAGCCCCGGACTCCAGCGCCCCATCCGATACAGGAGGTGCAAATCTGCGTGAACTGCACTCACGTGGTCCTCACCACCCCTCTGCAGTTGTTGACACTTAAGACAGCCAGCATCCTGGAGCACAGCTTTCGGCCTCTGGGAAGTCAAGTCAGTCTTTCGAACTGAGGAAGATCTGCCTGCCTCCGCCTGTGCTCCTGAGTGCTGGGGTTGCTGACACCACTAGGCCCAGCTACTAAGGGATGGTCTTTCATCTTTGGGCTCTAAGTCACAGAGGTTCACCTGGTCAGGTTTTCAGGCCCAGTGTATACTGCAGCTCCAGGCCCCGGGCGGTTTGGTGTCTGTGCACCTGCATCAAGTGGCCTTGGTGACCTAGGGAGCTGCGACTGACCTCAAGTACTTGTTCACACACCGTCACCTCTGCTTGTATTCCAGCCCAGTGTTGAGCTGAGATGGCCAAGCCTGACAGTCCATGATCTGGGATCCTGACCTACGTGTACAGGCTGCTGTTTCCCAGCGGATGATCTAAACCACCAGGCAGCGCTGGGCCAGGAGAGAACTCTCTGCCTGGATGTGTGGGAACTCCCTGCCAACTTGATTGTTGGATCTGGGGGGGATCCACCCCCACCCCACGGGGAAAGCACAATCCGTTTTGTGGGTGGGGGTCTCAGGTGCCACCCCCTGAAGCATGGCCACCCCTGTGGTCACCAAGACTGCCTGGAAGTTGCGTAAGTACTTTTCTTGTTTCTTTATCACCCCGTTGTTTTGTGAACTGCCCGCGGCTGGGTTCTTGTCACCTGTCCTTGGCACAGCCCTGGTGTTAGGGTAGACAGAGATGTAAATCACACTGGGCAGGTGCCTTAATCCTTCTGAGTTGCCTTAGCTCTGCAGTTGCTGAGATTCCAGTAAGACCATGGGCTTGGTAAAGCACTTGGTAAAGGATTTCAAATCAGGCTGACGGACAGAGTGTTTTGAGAAAGGCTGGAAGGTGTTCTAGGATTTTTGAGATATGTTCCAAGTCTGTTTCCTCCATCAGAGGAAAGTCTAGGGATGGGGGTGGAGACGCTGGCAGGGCTCTGGGTGTAATCGAGCAAAGATACTTCTGAGTTCTTTAGTCTAAACTCATTTACATTCTTCTTTTCCTTTTTTTGAGATAGGTGTCCCTCTAGCCTTGCCTGGCCCGGGACATGTGCCTCTGTCCCTGGGGTGCTGGGAATAAAGGCCTGTGCTACCACGCCAGGCTCTTTCATATTCCTAAAAGTTATTGAGGACCGTATGGCGCTCTTGTTTATGGAAGTTATACTTACCCATGTTGCTGTATTAGAAACAGTGCTGAGACATCTATGTACTCAAACCTTCCAGTAGTGAGGTCATCGCATGCCATGTATCTTCTCGAAGATCCTTCTTCTGGGGCAAATGAGAGGACTGAAGGCCGCTACCATCCTGATATTTAAGATAATAGTTTGGTTCTATTGGACCCTGTAAAGGCTCTTGGGGATCCTTAGATCGTGTTGAAAGGACCTGCATCTCACCCCTGTGCAGCTGGTTGTCACTGGTTTTGGGTGCTGTCCCTGGTCCCACTCTGCTGCTAACTGCCCCTGGGCTGTTTTCAGGACAAGGACTTTGGGCAGAGCTATTTTCTGGGTCTAGGTTTCCTCGTTTGTAAAGTGAGAGATTGGAACCATTTTCAAGTTGTTCTCCTGAGCTCTAGGGTTCTAGGAGAACCCCCTCCGTGGCACTCAAGGAAGACAGACTTTGAGTAGAGTGGCTTTATATTTATTGACATTATGTATCCAGTTCTTTAATGGCTTACCCTCCCTGAAGGTAGAACCAGATGCTAGGGAACAAGGAAACCACAATACCCAAGGAGCCCAGCCTTGGGAGAACGGTAGGCAAGCACCAGAATTACATCCCTCTGTTCCCAACCCTGCCCTGAGTCTGAGCCAGTGTGGCTTTGAATCAGTTAACTAACTGATGGGGTAGAGGGTGCGTTAGCAGCAAGCTCAAAGGCCTGGAGACAGGAAGCTTTTGTCCATGGGAAAGACATATAGGAGACCATGGGGGCTACTGCACATCAGCAAGGACAAAACAAAATGATGCCAGTTAAACCTAGTGAGTTTGCGGGGCACATGCCCACAAGACCCTTGTCCTCAAAGACCCCAGCATCAAAATATTTAAGCAGCAGGCAGTATGTTGAGGAGCTGGCAGTTTGTTGTACGAAGAGGTTCATGGGTGTATGGCCTGAGACCACACAGGCTGGGCCTTCTTGGGGCTCCAGGGTGTGGTGAGGATCAGAAGGGTCATTGCCAGTGTGGGGTTGCTGAACCCCTGCCCTTTGTGTCTTCCTCCTAGGATGTAAGTCCTTTAGCACCTCGGGGCAGACCGAGAGTGATCCCAGCTTTGGCTGAGATTTGCCAGGCTATACTGCTAGGTCTTGGGGAGGTCCTGATGGCTTATGCCGGAGGGAGAGCAGCCGCTGTCACCTGGCCTGCCAGGGGACACGGAGAGCTTGATGTTTGCATGGGAATCTAGTACCCATGGGTGGGCCGTTGATGTCTGGTGTTCCCTAAGCCAAGCCAGAGAGGGAACCTGCTGTGAGGACTGGCGTCCCTTTTGCTGGTGCCTGTGCCGTCTTCCTGTCTGCTCAGGTCCCCATCAGCCCCTGATTAAAGGGGAGTCATCATCACCCCACCTCTGCCTGTGACTCTTCCAATGCCAGGCCCATCTGATCCCCCTGGAGCCTGGAGGCGGGATGCTCTCCTTCCTCAGTCTCCCAGGCCAGGCCTAGAGCAGATGCCTGGAAGCCCTTCTGTTACATGATCATGGCCGGCTCTGGAAGTGCTTGGTGAGGTGGGACTCAGCCAGACCTTTCTCTCTTTGCCTGAGGAGGGTGAGGACCAGGGCAGATGCCCAGGGATCTCTGGCGAATTCAGGGTGTGGCTGCAGAGACAGCTCAAGCCTCTAGAACAGAGTGATCAGCCGGCCAGAAACAGCTGCACCGCCCTCCTGCCGCTTAGACAGATCTATAAAGGATCATGGCTCAAGCCTGGAGGCAGCTGTCCCGCAGTGTGCCGAGAACAAGACTGTGGTTGAGATGTCGACTCCAGCAAGACTCAGCTCCCTTGGGTCCAGATGGCAGGTCTTCCAGTGCCTAGATTGGAAGTATCTAAGCTGACAAGGATCTCTAATCCGGTTTGGTCAGCTCTGCTTGCACCAGCTGTGCCCTGCCAGGCCCTGAAGGGAGGTGTTGTTTCAGAAGTTGCGACTTTGTTGGGACCCTGGACGTCTTTGGAAGCCCAGACTGTCTGGGCTTTCCTGGGCCTGTTTTCCAGTCTCCTTATGGTTGCTGCTCACACAAGAGCTACCCAGGCTGGGTAGAGTGGGATCTAGGGTGGGGAAAGGGCCCTTTACTGACAGCCATGACACCTTCTCCTCGTCACCCATGCCAGTCTCCAGCTGCTTTGGGCATCTGTATATTGGGGTTTCTTCTGTTCCAGAGTTAAGTTGGGGACCAGGGACCGGCTTACAGGCCTGTCTGCCTCCTGATCGAGCACTGACAAAGCCCGCAGTTCCCTCCTGTGTTCCCTATGTCAGCCCCACTACTGCGGTCCAGGCCAGAGGCTCTGGTGGGCTGTCCAGAGGCTTTAGCTCCCATTCTCAGGGTCAGCTTTGCCCCACCCAGCTCCTGCTGTACCTGCTGCCTCCTGCTGTTATCCCTAAGGAACCCATTCCCTGCCGCCCCCTGGGACCCTGATAGCCACTCTGTGCCGGTATCTGGTCTTCAGTCTGTCTCTCAACCCATTCCCAATGAACTGGCCCTGGGGTCATCCTGTTCTCTGGACAAGGGTCGTCTCTCAGAGAGGAAGAGTGACTAGACCAAGGCCACGCAGCTGGCCGAGCTCAAATCAGCACCTGATTCAGAATTCTGAATTGGGATCTAGGGACAGCTGTCTAGACAGAACTTGCATTCTTCTGAAAGTATGTTCCAAGTGGGCTTTGTCTGTATGGGTGGCATCTGAGAAGTTGAAAAGCACTTAGGTAATACATGGGTTCATTTAAAAACAAAACATTTTGTTTTTTGTT